CTCTCTCTCTCTCTCTCTCTCTCTCTCTCTCTCTCTTTTTAGATTTAATTAATTACATAAAAAGATTTGCTTTCTTTGATATCAAACAGTAAGAATAGATTTGTAATTATCAAAATAAAATGTTATTACTTTCAGCTTTTACTTTGTTAAATATATAATTTTAACATTAATTCTAATTACTATCTAATTATGAAACTCTATAAAAAATAGGTGCTATATCTATTAAAATATATTATGTTTTAATAAAAAGCACATTGAAAGTAGCAATTAATAAGAGCAATCAGCCACAAAAGCCATAGTAATTGTGAACAAAATATCTAATCAAAATATAGAACAAATGTAGCTTTAACATTATTTAAAAAATTTTATATGATTACAAATTACAAATTTATTTACAGTTTAATTTTTCATATAATGTATATGCCATGATTCTAAATCCCTACAATAAATTTAGAAATTTTCATCTGATATTGTAATTGACAAGTTCCATGGCAAATTTTCACGTAATATATTTAATGATATAAATGATTGAATCGTGAGTGTGTATTATATGATGATTAGACAGCAGTCACACTTTCTAATCCAACAGTTCATTCCTAATTTCTGTATCTAGCACACGTTTGCTACACAAAGATTGCTGTAAATCATAAAAGTATCTTGCAATATTTGTCTACATTATTATTTTAATTTATTGTTTCTTTTTCTTGTCTAACAAATATAATATCTATAATTTAGTTTTTTAAAAAATAGTATGTGCAAAAATGAAAAGCTAAGAGTGTAAGAAATTGCAAATAGCAAATATAAATACATATATATTCATATAAAATAGAAAAATGAAATCGATTAGAAAAATTTAACTACTAATAATATTTGATATAAATTTTCAATCCATAATAAAACGGAACAATGAAAGTTTGAGGCGATAATAATTTAGAATATAGACAGAGTCTTTCTCGTTTCATATCGAAGAAAGTCAACGTTGCATGCTCTGAAAAGAAGGAAGAACATGTATATGTTTACAAATATATGTTTACAAATCTTTATGGTATTTATACACGCATGAGTAAATGCTAAAAAATATCATGCAAAAAATTTATGTTCCAAAAATTAGTTATATCTCATACAGGAACTTCTCTACTAATATATAAGGAATGTTTTGTATATTACATTCTTTCTTCAAACTTTACATAATGATGTACAATATTTTCTGCTACCAATCATCAGTGCATATTTGCATACGTGTACATGTGCTATGCATAGTAAAAATAGATATATAAAATCTCATACATATATGAGTTATACAGTGTGAAAATAATCAATTGTGTCAATAGGTAATACTGAAATGCTGAATGATGGATTGAAAAAAACTTTATAAAGCGCTAATCAACAATGAAATTCATAGTGTACAAATAGGAAACGCGATAATTTATACAGTATCCAATTACATATAGGAACACCTTGAGCAAAACTCTCAATATGATTAGTGCCATTATTTGTTATCTGAGTTTAATCCTAATAATGAAATCATTTTTTACTGCAATAATGTACCCCCTAGGTTTATGGCGTCTGGGTCACTGTTGTTTAAATTATTTAAAAAATTTTGAAAAAATTCTTTTTTACAATTTCTATTAATGTATATATTCTGTAATTGATTAAAAAAGAGATTTTTAAATAATTCATCTTTATCAATTACTAAAAGATTTGTGAAAGTTGATGTCTGATATAAAAATTATAAGTTTGTAAAAAATAATTTTTAATAATAATTTTTTTTTATAAATATGTAATTTAAACTTTAAAAATTATGAAAAAAACATATTTTATTTTTCTGTTTAAAAATTTATTTGCAAGAATGAAATTGTTTTTTGTTATTTTCAAACAGAATTTTTCGTTATTTTCTATGACAAAGAAAAAGAAATAGTCTTTTTAATATTTTAAGTACATTTTGTTTTATGAAAAAAAAATAACTATTAATAGTAATAATAAGAAAACATTTAATAATAAAATAAAATATAATCAAACAAAATGACAATATAAAATAATACAAAGATACAAATTTATAAGTCATTTAAACGTTCAGTGCAAATAGAATAATAATAAAAAAATAACAAAATAATAATTATTAATAATTAATGTATAATTATTTCCTTGAGAAAAAAGAGAGAGCAGTTAGCCTATTACTACTAATCTACTTAATAAATATCGCACATCTTTTATATTTTAAAAAACTACTTTTAATGTTAAAATAAATTATTTATTAAACACATTATATATTAAATTAACAAGAATTAACAAGTTTCATAAAAAATTAATTTTCTTGTACAAAAAATGTAAGTAAAATGAACCTCTAAATCTATCCTCCTTCGATTTATTTGTTAATAGCCAACAATAAAATATTTTTTCTTCTTAACTTAACGATGTTAAATGCGCTTCTGCATATTTTTTAGAAAAAAGAATCAATGAAAAAAGTTCAATTATTTTTGTGAAACTCGAATATGAAGAAATGCTTCAAACGCCACAGATCCAGAGATTCATTATCAGAGTCAAATGTATGGATATCACTTTGAAGACTATACATACTTGTAGTTCGAAAGTAATATGTTTAGCGCAATTACTACTGTGATCAAAAAGTATGGGGATTGAGCCCATTTAAATTACACATTTCGAACATATCGATGAATTTTTTTTTTTTTTAGATTAGTTGGACTGTTTCTAGTCTCTGTCTAAAATTTCATGTCATTATCTTTCTTAGTCTACAAATAAATGCTTGTTTTGTGATTAAGAAAAAGTATTTTCGGCGATTTTTGTTATATCGAATTTTGTTGAACATAGAATTAACATTTTGTCTTCGGAAAGTCGAAATTTCGTGTACAGAAAAAGTAAATATGTTTCGATGATGAGTAAGCCCTGGAAAAATGATCCTTCCAAGGTGATCTTCGTCTTCGATGTGTTCTCTACCTTCTTTGAACACTTTATACCATTCGAAAATCCTTAATCTTGATATGCACTCATCACCGAAACATATCCACTGTTTTTGTATATGAAATTTCGTTCCGAAGACAAAATTCTATGCAAATTCTTTGTTCAACAAAATTCGCATGTGACATGTTTAAAATCGCCGAAAGTATTTTTTCTCAATCACAAAACAAGCATTTGTAAGACTAAGGTAATGACGTGAAATTTTAGGTAGAGATTAGAAACAGTTCAATTAATCTAAAAAAAAAATTTCTTCAATATGTTCGAAATGCACATTTAAATGAGCCAATCCCCATACTTTTTGATCACAATATACACAAAATTGTCTAGATAACTGCGTGCATTGATTATCAACGCGGACAGGTTTTATCGATTACAAATACAATTTAATTTTTAATAATGTTGAAATCTCTAAGACAGCTGCATTATTAATCTGTCTTATTAAACGGAAGTTCATATCTCGTTTTAGTCACACTTCTCCTTGTTCGTAACAAGAGAGCTTGTGAGAGCTTGCTTTAATGTCCAAATTATATTCCCGATGGGACTAATCAATAAAATATTAAAGTGCTTTGCGGCGCGTGACAAAACGCAATTCCTCATTCCATTATTCTAATTACCTGTTAACACGCACATAATTACACGACAGACACTTACGGCAAGAATACTCACGCGCCAGCACTTCTCTACGACGCACTTCTACTCCGATAATGGCTTCCATGGGAACTTCGGTACGCGGAATACTAACTGCATGTGGCGGCAGGTAAATTGGTTCCAAGTTACCAAAAGTGCATTCTTGAGGAATATTCTTGTAACAATACGCGTGCAACTAAAAATTGAAATCAAATTTGTCATTAAATGTTATTTTAACGGGGGCTTAAAAGGAGTTTTAATCATGCTAACAAAACATACTTTTTCTCTTTCTTTCTCTCTATTCATATACAAATCATTACATACACTTGATTTGAAACAAATAGGTATTGTAATGTAATATCTATTTATATTTTATTCTAATTTTAATTCTGCTGATAAAATAATCACAAAATTAAGAAAAAAGCGAGTTAATAACAAATCTTTCTTTTACCGTCATGCCGCACCACTCGCAACGAAACCCGCCAAGGCACTCAGCAGTAAAACAACTCTTCTTGCATACAGCGCATTTCGAGCTGCTCGGAAGATTGCCTTCTCGCCAATGATGAGTGTGCTTCACTGCTGACAGATCCTTACCAGGTAGGTATGTGGCATTTTCCTTGCAATCTGCCACCGCGAAGTCTTGGCATTCTATGTGCACGAAGTACTCGCATACTACAGAAAATAAGCACAGTTACATTCAAAGATCCACATGATGCCTATTGAAGTTTTAAGTATTTAGGTAACTTCAGCTTACTTTCGCAGTGTATGGACAGATTGTCATCCAATCGTTTCCGACAGACGTTGCAGAATTTTCTTTTACGATGTACTTGTCCGGACCAACAATGTGCAACCGGATTCTGTAACACGTCCAATGTGAAAACATTAATCTTACAATATATACAGTGTGTCTCATATTAATGATGCACCTCTCATGGATAGATAGAGCAGATCATATTGGATAGAAAAGTCCTCTACCATTTTGTGATTTTCTCGCAATAGTTAACGAGATATTAATTTAAAGATCTGCGAATGGATTTTTCTCTGTTCAGTATAACCTACTTTATCTGCCTACAAAAATACGTCACCGATATGGGACATTCCATATATTAAAGAAGCTTTCAAAAAATGTCTTGGCACAACATGTATTGTCAAATAAGTAACTTCTTAATATTCTTTTAATATCTTTGTCTTAACTTCATAATTCACGTTAATTATTTTATTACAACATTTAATCATTTTACAATATATCCCTGAAAAGGTTGCGTTCTTATATTCTAATTATAGGCGTTATATTTATGCATAGGCGGTTAATCGTTGTCTTGCCTTAATCAGGTTTGCCGCGATGCTGGAGCAGGGAGAGACGACGGCCTTGAGACAGCGGTCGTGCACCACGAAGTTACACACTGTAATCAAAGAAAAAAAACCGTGAGAATTTGAGAGAAACACAGAGAAATACGAGTGGGATTAATTGCGTTAAATCGAATAATGTTACCAGCTAAGCAATGTACACTTTAGCATAAATCAATACCGCTCATGTCGTAATTTATAACAAGATCTTCTGACCTTTCGCGGTATAAGTAAAAAATGTCGAGAATCATACACGTTATTTAACGCTTCTATCGTTAATCGCACGATACATAGTGATAGATATGTACATGGTAGTCAAACTTTATGTAAAAGTTTATTAGTGATAGTAAATATATATGTACATATAAAATATAAATATGTGCACACACATGATCGATGCTGCACGCACGCACGCATATGTCACGCCACGCACCGCGCGCGCGCGCGCACACCACACTCCCACCCCCCCCCCCAACCATATATATATATATATATATATATATGTGTGTGTGTGTGTGTGTGTGTGTGTGTGTGTGTGTGTACGTATA